ACTAACATAACATGGAAATGGATTTTAAAGCCATCTAATTTACTTAACCAGAACAGTTTCCTTTTCTTTCCTATCCTCTTTCCTAGTTTTTCTTGGAATTTGATGATGAACAAGGCATTTCAGCAAAAGAAATAAGGGAACCCATTCAGAAAGTTTAATCGAAAGGTAGATTCAAAACTGTTTCCCTTTCACCATTTCATACGGGCCATTTCAGTGTTATTTTCAGTGCTATAAATTGAAATAATGTCATAAATAACGTTGAAGTCCAGTTATGCCATGCCTTCAGAAATTATGGGCCTACAAGCTCTCATATTCCAAATATTGTCAACAAGTATGAAACAGAAGAAGACAACCTAAGACTCCTTTGGTGGGTTCCTGAAGGACTGCCAAAAGTTTATTTTATATTGCAATTTTACTCAGATAGAAGAGAAGAATGTTAAAATACAATGAAAAACAATCCCATTAGCCATATTTATTTCTCATTAAATTCATCCAGTTGAATTTCTAACTTGACTTCCCCCATTACGTTTTGAATTGTGGTTCCTCAGCAAAAACCTAAATGCAATTCTTGGATCAAGGAAAATTGAGGGAATTTTTTGACAGGCATTCAAGCATACAAGTTTGAGTTATTTTATTGTCTCCAAACCAAGAACGGTTCTGAACCTCAATACATTCCTGGGGAACCCTATGGAGTAGGAAGGATAAAGGAATGAAGGAGAGGGAACCCAAACAGCTTAATGACTTTTAAACAACAAATTGGGGTCACGTCAACACGCAAATGTGGCCTTAGGATATTGTGAATACCTTATTTCCATCATAAGGATGTTTACCACATCAGACGTCTCCTGAACTGTGTACTAAATTTGACAAATATGGAGGCAATAGTAGAGTCAAATTTCATTTCTTCATTTTTGGGGGGTCAGCTGAGCTTCTTGAGAATCTGGCTTGGGGGGTCACCTCCTAAGCTCATGTAACTGAATTAAACCAAGGAATAAGCTCTCTGGCTTTGCTTATCTCACAGGGGAGAGGAGGTTGCTTGAGTCTACGAGAATAGCAAACAAGAATTGGCTGAGATCAGCGATGTCAGGTTGGTGCATTCTGGATGAAGAGAGGTCCCACAGAAAAATGTCAAGATCTGTTTTTTCTTGTTCCAGAACGTAGGACAAGGAAGAATGGACTTAAATTACAGAGAGGCAGATTCCCACTGGGTGTTAGAGAAAAAAACCCCCCAATATTAAGAGCAGCTTGACAGAGAAATGGTGGACTCGTCTTCATGGAAGTCATCCAGCAGAAACTGGACAATCTTTTATCCAAGAAGGTTTATTTGCTATTCCCGCATCAAGCATGCATGGCTTTGCACTTAAGAGTCTACATGGCCGAGTTTCAGATTCCACAAAAGCTTATTGCAACATGTTTGGGTGTCGATTTTTCGGCCTCCTTCATGCTTTCACTGCACACACATTTCTTCTGTCAACACTTCCGATAATGGCACCAACAAAAGGAACAGAGCTCTATTTCGCGATGTCCCTGAGCTTCAGAAGAAAGTCCTGAGAAATGTCACCTAAAGTACCTTAAGCGTCGGTGATCCAAGGGTTCAACCACCTGTCAACACAATGGCTGCCTTTCTCAGCACAAGAGCCCCTCTTTCTTCTGTCATGGTTCTGACAGACAGAGACAAATAAAGCAGATCTCCGAGGCTTGGAAATTCCTCAAAGAACATGTTTATTCATTACAGAGTATTGGCACGATCAAAAGTGAAACCAAGTCTGAATTTCCCACTAAAAACTACCCAGTTCCAAAGTATAATGTCCCACCCACAAAACTGTACCATCACTGTGTTCCCCAATACATTCATTGGGCGGGCTTTCTTATACACGCCCAGTCCCTGATCGCAGGAGCAGCAGATGACCTTGGTTCCCATGGGACAGAAGATTATTTTGACTAGCGAAGCACCTGGACATGCCCCCTCCCTCCGTCCTATGTGGCAACCTAGAATGAGAAGAAAAAATGGCTGCAGCCATGCTCATTGTAGAGTTGACATCTTCACTTGTGAGAGTCGTTGGAAGGAAACCTGGCTGGCTGAACATGGGAGTGATTGTAGCCACAGCCCTGCTTTAGTGCAGTCAATTATCATTAACCTCCCAAAGTGATTTATACATCTGTGTAAAGGGAGGGATGAAACTTCCAAAGGTGCCATGAAGCAAGCATGAAAGAAGCAAAGTCTGATTTCATGTTTGTATGAAATTAATTGAATGCACTTGGGAGGCCTCGTTTTCTCCATTTCTTGGTAATGTATGTTGTAGCTTGTAAGCAAATCCAGGGACAACTAAGACATTAGTGGACGAAGTCCTTCTAGTGAGAAATCTGTGGATTGAGAAAGGTTGACTGAAGAACTGTGATCTTCGTTTGCAATTTGTACTAAGACCCCGAATGAAATCCTCCATAGATTTCTGTGAGTATGCTAGCAGAAGGACCCAGAAGAGACAAGGAGAATTCCTTTGGACGAAGGCAAACAGCTCAATGGGCTTATGGATATGAGCATCCAGGAAAAGTGAACTTCAAATGATTTAAACATGAGGATGATCTGGAATTGTGCTTTCTCCACATCTGGGATCTTGTGGAGAGCAGTCGAGATTTAAGAAGGTTCCCTCAATCTCCTCTTTTTGTTCTTTGGCAGCCAAAAGGTTTTTTTACTTTTATTTTCTTTGTATTTTGTATTTTATATATTAAATAATAGAAACAGTATAAATGAAAAAAAATCACATAAAATGTGTTCCATCTGAAGTGAATCTCAGTCAAAATCTATAGATTAACTTGAGCAAATAATTTACTTTATGAAAACCTTGGAGATGTTAAGCAGGACAACACTGTATCCCATTTCAGTCTACAAAAGTCTATTTTGAATACATCTCACAACATGGGTGAAACGCTGGGCTTTTCATAAACTTTTCTAAGAAATGTTTAAATAAAAGAACCCTCCACATTCTTGTTTATTCAGCTCTCTTTATAGTATGGACTTAATACTGATTTTTTATGAGTTCTCCACTCTCCATCCCTCAGCTTGCTGGTCTTTTAAAAAAAGCAGGCTTTTTCATCCTGTAAACAAACCTTGGTTAATCTTCCCTTTTGGAAAATGAGTTTTTGTTTCCTGCTATTTTAACTTAGAGGTGAACTCTCAACCTTCCATAATCTCAACTGAAGGAAAATTATCCGGATTTCAGTAGAAGCCAGAACTGGAGAGAAAAAAGATGCTTACAGGTCAGTGCCAATGAATACCACATTCAGGACGGAGGAAATTTCACACAACTACATCTGAGGACATGAAGCTGCTGGCTAAATAGTTTGAGGAGCTTATGATAAAACATGGGTTTTTGTTACAGCCATCGGGTTGAGGCAAATGGGAGAAAACAAGCAGTTTTCTTCCCCAAAGACATTAACATATGTATGAAAAGTCCATTTATAGCTCCCTGTGAAAAGATGTGTCACAACAAAGTGAGGTTAAGGGACAAGGGATCACCTGCTTCTAAGATATTATTTAACTCGGACTCTGTTCAGCTGCCAAGATTTACTGGCATACCTCTGTAGGCGATCAAATTGCTTAATAAAAATAAAGACAAAGAACTGGCTTTTAAGACTTCGTTGGTCCATTGGACGCCATTAGAAATGGCTTTTTGAGAGCCTCTTGCTTCAAAGTCCAGCAAAACCCCAGCAAAGTTGTTGTCCTACTGTTTTCTATCCTGGATTGTCAGAAACCAATTTCCTCACTTAAACTTCTAACAT